CCTGCGCTCACAGATTGGCGTGCGAATGCGTGAGGTGGTGTCTTACTCTATAAATCTTGAATAAATCTCACGTGGGTCTTGTTTACCTATGCCTAAAGTTGTGATATGCCTGTAGCATGTAAACCAGAAGCTGAGAAAGTATGTTTGAAAGTATGTTTCAGTCAAAAAAAATTGAGTTTTTGCATTGACTAACCCTTCATCTTCAATCAAACCGCTCATCCATAGCCTCCGCCCGCTCCAACCTAGTTCCCCAACCTTGGGGAATAATCATGATGAAATGAGAAGGATGCTGGGAAGTGAGCACAGCTGATTAAAATAGATTTGAATGAAAGACTGGAGCTGTGTATCTGACCTTTTCCGTCTCTGGAGTTGTAGTCTGCTGATTTTGAGCAGGAAGTCCATGAAGATGCTTCTCAGTTAGTCGAAATGTGTTGCTTATCTTCAGAATCTTTTATATCCACAGGTGTCGCTTTTGGATTTAGTCCGGGTTGCAAAATGTTTGGAGTTTTTGTAGTGTTGGCTGAGAAGAGCATGAAAGCAATCCAAAATAAATACATACATAAATGCAAATTCACAAATGATGTTTGTCCAGTTTGTAGAGCAGATGTGCTGAGTGTCTCATCTGTTTGATGTGATCTGCCTTCTGCTCTCCAGACCACAGAACAAGCTTCTGATACCTAATCATGATGCTGTACAGATTTATCCTGCCTCCCCCCTCTTCATTCTCTCATGCTTTTATTCTCTCTCTCTCTCTCCATCCAGAGTCTCTTCTCACCATGTCGAATTTTCACTTCCCTGTCCTGTCCTGTTTGTTATCTCTACCTCTATTACTCCTGCTTCTGTCTGTCTTTCCCACCGTCTTTGTCATTATCGTCCTGCTGCAATTTAAATGCTCTTTCTTTTCAAGCCTTCCTGCATTCTGGTCATTCTGAGATGAGCAGGTCCGACAGACAAGTTCCCTTGTCCTGTTGATTCTCTCTCTCTGTCTCTGACACTTCTAGACACTTCAGCCTTGCTTGTCCTTCAGGTATGAGGTTATTACGAATACAGTTTTGTCCTTTTTTCGTCAGACATCTATTACCAAATCCATCCAATGTTTGTTTTTCATATCATTTGTTTTAATAAGCAAATGACATTTTCTATCCCCTAATCCTGAACCTACCTTTACACAAACCTTTCTAGATTATTTATTTGTTTATAAGCTTTTTTTTCTCATGGGGACAATGTGGATTTTATAATAATTTTATATATTCATATATAAACACACACTGTATTTTCTTCAGCATGGATGCATTAAATTGATGGCTGCTGAATTTACATTGATTTCCTATTATTATACGCTTTTATCCAAAGTGATTTACAAAAGCCTTAAAGATGAAGAATAAAACATAAGCGATTCACCCTGAAGAGAAAAGACTGTTCACTAGAACAGAGATGAAAGTGAGAGTTAAATAATTTTCTTTCTTAAGAGTTAGTTACAGTAAGTATCTTAAAAAGATTTAATCAAGTGGTCATGGAGGAGATACCTTGAGTAGCAAGGAACAGAAAAGTTTCATTTGACACTTTAAATCAGTTGAAAGATGAAAGTGGAAAGTACATTTTAAGATTTGATTTGGTTTAATTTCATTATTAAAAAAATATCTAGTTGAGTTTTGTTCACCTGACAGTGCAAATTAAACTTTCCACCTGTAAGGAGACGATTCCACATGTCGTATCCCTAACCCATAATCCAGGATAAAAACATACTGGTTTTCCCATTCATGAGAGCATTAAATGGCAGAACCCTGGTGTTTCAGCTGAAGTAGACTACTAATAATATACGTGTTAAATCAGTGCTATAAACTACACACAGCTTCTTGTTCTTTGATTGCAGACATATTTTAAACATGATGTCTTTTGCACCTGTACAGCATGTGCAAAACTAAATATATACTACAATATTTGAAAAAAAGATCAGCCGGGATGCTGTCACGTAACACAAATGAGTAAATTTTTTTCAGTACTTTTTTTTGTCCCAGCTTTAAAGATCTGCTGTCTCCTCTCATTTTCTGTCAGCTCAAAAGGAACTCTCTAAATGGTCTAAATCACTTTGTGCACATGGCAGCTTTTAAGAAACTAAAAATACCATAGTGCTATTTTAGAGCAGGCCAGGTAATGAGGCATACTGACAGGAGGAAAAACCAGTGTGACTCTTCAAACATGTTCCAGCCGAACTGCGCAAACTTTTTGTGCATTTTGACACACTGGAAGCCACTTACAACGCATGATCACCTGCCTTTAAGGGAAGCAAATGGGTTTAAACATTCTTGACAAATAAAGAGAGAACGTTTTAGTTTTAAATAGTACCTGATGCATAATGTTTTCTGACAGTGTAGGACAGTAGTACTTCATTTGGAAGCCCATTCCTGCCTAGGAGCAAAAAAAAAAAGTTGGAGTTAGAAAAAGTTTAAGAAATAAAGTTACATTGTGACAAAGTTACATTGTAAGATTTACAGTAAAGTCACAGTCTGAGATATAAAATTTGAATTTAAGAGAAATAAAATTGCAATTGCAAGATATAAAGTCCCAATGCAAGATATAAAATTACATTGTGAGATTTAAAGTCATATTGTGAGATATAAAGCAGCAATAAGGTTTGTGAGGCTGAGAAATGGGGCAAAAAATTACTTTTTTACAAGCCTTTCCTCAACCAAGTTTCTGATTATTCCAAAAAAAAATTTTATATAAGTTTGTCCTAGTTTATCACGATCAGCGTAAGGCATACAAGTTAAAAGACAGTAGATCACAAATCCACTATAATAAAAATACTAGAGACAGCGGTGTCATTAGCATTTTTAAAAATCTCCAAACTTTGTTTTAAAAGGACTTGAACAATGTCTACATTTCCTTTCATGCCAAGTCACCATTACTTTTATACCACTTTATACAATATAGTTTTAAAGCAGCTTCACAGGAATAAACAGGAAAGTAGCAGAATCAATGGTGCAAACTTAAAAAAAAGAGGCAAATCAAAATTCTGCTATAAAACAGCTGTAGCAAGACAATGGTGTCATTATTTAGCTCCAGTCAGTTCAGGTTTTGTTCTCATACAATAATGTGAGATGTAAGATCGATCTAACTTTATTTACATTTTAAGACAGGGCTGAATATCTCAAATTCGTCAATTCTGTTTAACTGCAGTGGGCTTATCTGAAATGTATTGCTTGTCGCCATCTACCGTAAATAAATCTATGGATTGTGTGAGTATGTAGTACTGAGATGTACCTGGAATGACAGTCTTTTATAAAATTAATCTGTGCTCACATTTTGCTTAAATGTCAATACTGTTGATTTTCCCACCCTGACAGCATCTGAGAAAATAAATTCAGCTGAGTTACTGTTGTGCTGTGAGGTGTAAATTGAAATGCAGATGCTTTAGTTTCCCCAGGTACAGCTGGTAGCCGTGCCAGATCCTGGGGTGGAAATGTCATGCGGACAAGTGTCCCCTAAGGGCTCAGGTGGAGGCTGCTTGTCCATCAGGTGTCTTAGCATCTGCAGCTAACATGCCAAAGGCAGGAAACTGCCAGATCTACACTGCATCAGATGGACTGAAAGTGGAAAATAGCAACATTGTGAAAATACATAAATATTGCCATGCATATAAATAAATCCAATCTTTCGTCTTTCATCTATGAAATGTGACATTTCAGATTTTTTTGCTGTGCTGCTGTCTATTTTTAGATAGACTTTACTAAGAGAAGGAAACGTGCAGCAGGGTTAACTTTGTTGCAAAACTCCCCCGAGAAGCAACTGGAAGAAATCAAAAGAGTCTCGATTCTGACCGTGACTTTGCTTCAAGCCTTTAACACATGACAACATCTTATAAACAATATTAACAGACGAGACAAGTTTTGATATGACATACATTTGGATAGATATGGAGACAATCTCCTCATGCTCCTCTCAAATGTTCCACATGACAGCATAATATTTCAGTGGCAACCAGAAATACTGAAAAGTTATTTATAGTATGTAAATTTGCAATTACTCATGAACTCAAAAGTGTGATTTGACAAAAATGATACACATGGGACATAAATAGAAATGCTAAACTATATTTGTCCTGGTATGAAATCAGAAAAGGTCTTTTATATGATGGTGTACAAAGTTTGAATGGGCTCAAATGCAGTTAAAGGGATACTCCATGCAACAATTTTAATTCTATCATCATTTACTCACCCTCATGTCCAAAACTGGACTTTCTTTCTTCTGTGTAGTACATAAAAGGAGATATTTTGAGTAATGTATCAGGTATTTTTGCCCATATATGTTTTTTTCCCATATATTGTATACAATAAAAGTTAATGGGCTCTAATATTGTTTGGTTCCCACAAATCCTCAAAATATCCTCTTTTGAGTTCCACAAAAGAAAGAAACACATACTGGTTTGGAATGATGGGTGGACCATCCGTTTAAGCTCCAAAGAATAACCATTAAAAACTAGTTCATGACTTGTTCTGTTTTGCTTTATTCTTCAACTATTAACTGCTGAAAATAAGGTCTTTCTTTACAATAAAGCAAAAAAAATAATTACATTTCATAATTCATATTGTGCATGAACATACAGTACGAGTACTTCAATTTTAGGGGATCGAATTTTGTTTTTGAGTAAAGAACAGCCCTAAAGCATATGCTGCCATTATATTTCATGCCTTTTTAAAGTAATGGTATCAATCATTAGACCGTACTTAGGGGGACTTCAATCTCCCATTTACATTTCAGCCACCTCAAAAATCTGCAATTAACTCAGCTGTCAGCACTCTTGTGATCATGTGATCTCACTTCATGTTTGCTGAAAAGGGCATCTGGAATAGCTATAGCATCTGCAATTATTTCACTTGAAGTCCTCACCCTTACCAGTCATTATGTCATTACAAATCAAAACGTTAAAGTTCTTAACATTATGTACGATCCTTCCCTCCAGTGTTAGGCCACAGAGCGCTGCCCGCACACAGCTTTCACAGACATGTGCGTTTCTCTAACAAATGCTCTATAATCCAATGCAATCAGAAAATAAAAAACAGCCTTACCAGATACACCATTATTACTGACGTACAGCTACTTAAAAAAACAGTAAAGTAAGTAAAAGTAAGCCTTGATCAAGATTCAAACTTCAAACAAAAAAAAAAAAGTATTTTGAGCCACATCAACTCATGCTCTTTTTAAGGGGTCGAGCCCCTTCTAAGACTGAAATCCTAAAAATCTATCAAAGCACACCAGGAAAACCTGCTGATCCTCAGTGGAATCATCTTGCTGCCACCTATAGGCCTAGACAAGAAAGAAAATCATAAAGGAGAAAAAGGATAATGAATGACTTATACTGGTCATTCTTGATGTGACTGCATATAGCTACAGAACTTTGTTACTATCCAGAGAGAGAGTCATGGCAGCCATTATACACCTCTTCAGACTTTAACAGCACTACAAACCTCTTTTTTCCAGTCCTATCTGATTCCCATCCCTAGTAGGAAATAGCTTACTAATAGATGCACAACTATTACAGACAGGTCTTCATTTTATTCTCTGCATTTTTTGAAGGACACTCCAAATTTGCATGGAAACAATTTTTACATCTAAGCCTCTTCCTTGCACTCATAGGTTTGAGAGAAAAGGTCTACATGTCAACAACACAAGTGCTCTTCTGTCTGAGAGAGAGAGAGCAAGCACATGTCCCTTCATTTAAATACTCAACGTATGTTATTTAAATTTATATTCCACCTTTAGCTTCTCTAGAGACTAAAGCACATATTTCATGATCATCCTGTCTGAATGAATTTGCACACACTGTATTGTTGCTCTTAGATGACAAACGGGAGAAGAAAGAGTGGTATTCACATGGGAGATAAAAGGAAAATCTTCAAGTGGTCTGCGAAGAAAAGAAACAAAGATCCCCAATGGGATAAGTAAATACGCAGGGTTCATCCGAACATGGAAATAAAGCATGAAAGTATCCTTTGTCCTCATAAATATGTCATAGTCATGACTGTTCTGCACTCTGTAGGTACACACACACTACCTGGTGGTCTAGTTTCCAAAAATAGACACTTAACATGGTTTGACAACTCCATTAAATCAAAGCTGAATTAATTGCAAATTAATTATTAACAGCCAACTGTAAAAGGATTGCAACTCTCACTTTAACAACGACAGTGGTTTTCACAGGGATTGGTAGGACAGAGGGATAGACAACTGGATAAGCTTAATGACCATAAAGTTTGAAGCAGATCTTTCTGTGCCGGCCAGATGGCTGTCTGCAAGGTGGGATGAGCTTTGACTCCATATGCGCAGCCACACCTGTGCACTATTTGTCTGTTTTTTGGCTCACCGTGCTCTCAGCCAGAGACCGATGCGAGATATACTATCCAAACACTGTGGCTCGATGCAACGCACCTTATCTGACCGTGTGGACAATGTAGCCTGCGGTGAGGGGCTATGCAAATTTGCATGATATAATCAGCACAAGACTAGATCTAATATTTATCAAAGGAGACAAATTATGTTTTTGACATGAGCTATGCTGGAGCACCATTTAAAGGAACGAGAGATAGAGACTCATCATGAATATTTCATTGGAGTGCAAATATTATCTATGAAACGAAACGTGAGAACACAGCTAATAAAATAAAGGCCTGTTCCAGCTTTCATGGCAGTTATGAGATAAGCAGAAAAACATGGACACATGGAATACTGAATACAAAGTTAACTTAGCATTTTTGTTGTTGCCCTGGAAAATATGGTATGTGTAATACTTTACATTTACAACATTTTTTAAGGTAGCCTGAATGGCTATTTGACTAATCTTAAAGGTGGAGACTGTAATTTTTGCAGCACTAGTGTTTTCAAACAGGCTTCCTGATCACTCATAACTGTCTTTCACTGGTTGGACAAACAGATAGTCCCACCCCAAACTTATACCATTGGTTGAGCCAATTTTGCTAAAAAAAAGAGCAATGTTTTTATAGTACCACAGTGCTTATACTTAAAATGAATAGCGTATCTTAACTTGCGAAGAGTGTATCTCAATATTAAACATTAAAAATAAAGTAAAATATATATTATATACTAATATTAGAGGGAGTGATGGGCTAGGTAAAAATATAAATTTTCTGAACAATTGCAATCTTCATTTGAACAATCTCAATATTTATTTATAAAATCTATAGTGACTTTCAGAGATTAAATATTTAAATATAAATAAATGTAAAGTAATTAGCCATTTATTTTATACATATATTAATATATATTTATATATTAACAACTTAATTATATATAAATTAATATATATCAATAAAATTGGCCTAATCTTTTGTAATGTTGAAGCTGCGGTCTGTGCGTTTTGCCTCTTTGTCGCCATCTCTGTTTGAAAACCTGCAATTGCAGCTGTGTTATCTTCCTTGCGTGGGTTGTGAGTCGGCACGGCTCCAGCGCGGATTAATCTAATGTTTTGAGGAGTATGTGTGGCAGTCAGTCAACGCACCGGTGTGGATATTGTACTTTGCACTCACAGATTCTAGCCTACATATTGGAATATATGACCCAAATAAGCATTTTCACCGAATATTGTCATCTGAACAAGTAAGTAACAAGTCTGTCACGTTTGTTCTGACCGACTGAGGAAAAAAACATTACAATAAATCGCGCTACCAATGGTGATTTAATCTAAATGAGCTCATATCACATCAAACCGTGCAAATTATTAAGTAAGCTTTAGCGTTAGTTCTGGCAGGTCACGTGAGTCAAGCTTGCATCAGCTGATTCTCAGCTGATCACATCTACCTATAGGGATACGACACCTATCGTGGCATTCCTATATAAGCTGTATTCAGTATTATTCAGCAGCTTTTCAGCTTGCTTCAGAGGAAATTATAAGCATGATCTTGGCTGATCTAGGCTGATCTTGATGATCTTGATCTTGATCATAGCTTGGCTGAGATCAAGCTATGTTCATTTATAAAAAAAATAAAACTCTTCGGTGGTGATTGGAAGGTTATGACTGAGCGCTCAAATGGACACAAGTGATTTAAATATAGTCCAATTATTCTAAGCAGTACAAGCAGCGCCTTTAAAAAAATAAAAAATAAAAATACAGGTAACTCGTTTTCCTCTGGTTCCTCACTTGCTGAGCCTGGGGTGATGCTTCCCCCATAAATATATTATTAAGCAACATTTCCTGCTAAGTTTCTTATTTCATTTGCTTAACGCTATGTTGGCAAATATGCTATTGTCAAATATTGCTTGTTGTTTATGGCTAGTTGTTCAGTAACATGTTGGTTTGCTAGGCACGCCGTAGCTTAGGCTTATTGGTTGTACTTTGACACACTGGTAACATTAACGTTACCGTTTAAACATACCACAGCTGAGACTTGTTTTTAAATCTGTTTAAGACTGTCTGATATGAAGCAGGCTTGCTGCTTAAGGCTCATCTAGTATTGAGGATGCTGTTTCATTAAACACATCCTGTGTTTAAGTCTGTGATATGCTGTTGCTTAAAGCTATACAGTGTATCGGTAATGTGCTTGATACTTAACTTGTAGTATGTAGATTTTGCTACTAAAGGTGTTATTAAATGCTAACGATTATCTGGATAGGGCAACATGCTGTTGCCTAAACTTCAGGTATTGACCATATGCTGTACTGCATTAAAGGGGCATGCTGCTCTTCTCAGCTGCTTATTAAAGAAGAGCACCCCTTCACTGCTTCTCTTCTTAAAGGGCATGCTGCCTCAGTCTATGCTATTTCAGAAGGTCTTTTGTTTTAAAGCTATTAGGGTATTGGGATTTTGCTTGATTGTTAGGGCTTATCTAGTGTTCAGTATCATGTTTGTCGCTAGATTTGCTTGTTGCTGTAAGCTATTGGTTGTTACTGCAATTGCTGGTTCTTAGTTAAACTTGCAACAGCAAGAAGCTAATGTTTAAGTTGTGGTTTAGACTGTAACATGCTGTGATGTGTATAAGCAAGTAGATTTCTATTTCTGTACAGTCTAATCTCTAATTGTCATAACACTCAAATTTCATATTAAGAAATAATTTTAACCCAAAAAGCAAATTATGCTCCCTTCGAACTGGTTGTCTTTAAAATACAAATATTGTGTAATCCCAGGCTATCTGTAATCAGAAGCTGACAGGTCCACTAATCCAATGCGTCACTATATAAGAGCATATGCATGTGCACATGCCTGTTCTCGTCCTTCTATTAGCTGTACAGGTCAGCCATTTGTCTTACAGTGACAGGGTCACTCGCCCTGTGCCTTGAAGGAAGGCATGCCCTTATCAGTATTATATTATATGACCAATACATGTGCAGGTCAGACAGTGTCACCATAGATACCATATCCATCTCCCATGATACTTCATCTCATATCGTATGACAACATTTTGACAAATGGATAAGAACAATTGAAGAATATTACACTGCATCTATGTGAAGATGGCCAATACGTATTTTAAATTGATCTCAAATAGGCAACACTGAATGTAAGAAACCAGAAGGCAAAACTGGAACTTGACAGACCACCTACATTTTTTATGAAATAGTGAAATATTGCTGAGGTGCCAACAGCAGGTTGCATACAGGATCCAAAGCAGTTCTTATATTGTTCTAAGCGCATAAATGTGTGAAGTATGCCCTCTGCAGGTTGTTTAATAATTATGGATTTATGCACTGTTCAGCCCCTCTATGTTCTATGCTTTTTATTGCACATCATAGAATATAAATGGGTCCACTAATCCAATGCGTCACTATATAAGAGCATATGCATGTGCACATGCACATGCCTGTTCTCGGCCTTCTATTAGCTGTACAGGTCAGCCATTTGTCTTACAGTGACAGGGTCACTCGCCCTGTGCCTTGAAGGAAGGCATGCCCTTATCAGTATTATATTATATGACCAATACATGTGCAGGTCAGACAGTGTCATCATAGATACCATATCCATCTCCCATGATACTTCATCTCATATCGTATGACAACATT